TTGGCCGCCTTGCGCTGCGGCAAATAGCCGCTGTAGACATAGGGGGGTACACCGTAACCCACCTGGTGCTGCCCGAAATACTGTGGTGGCGGCGCCGGTCGGCGTGGTGTTGTCGTGAGCGGGGTCTCTGGGGATCCCGCCAGCGAGTCGATGTGCATACGTGCCCCGCGACCTAACCCCGATGCGAACAAACTCGAGTTCATCGGCGGCGTCATGAGTGGGTCGGCGGTGCGCGCGCGCTTCTCTCCGTCACCCAACCGTCTCTCGATCTTCGTCTGGGACTCTTCGAGCTTCTTGAGTCTCCCAGCGAGACCACGCATGATCTCCAACATCTCTGATGCTTGGTCATTACCGACGGCTTGGCCTTGGTCGCTGGTATTGGTACCGTCCCCCTTTCGTGAGTGACGGTGGTGCTCTTCTCTTCTATGTCTTCGGTCATACCGATCCTTTCGCGACCGGTAGCGGGTGCTGGCGTTGACGCTGGTGCGTCGTCGCGAGCGACCTCATCTATGGCATCGTTCATTGGGCTCATAACCTGCTCGAAGTGCTCGACCCTCGGGTCAGCGCCTTCGTGTGAAACGCAGTCGTATATTTCCAACGCAAAAGGGAGAGTGGGATTCGGTCTTACTCTTCCTTTTCATCCTATCCTTACTGTCTTCCACGTGGAGGTCTCACAGCCTCACGTTCCCCACTTAATACGTACCACGCCTCCAGCCACAAACCTCCGGCCAGTAGCAGCTGCTCGTCGTTCCCTCGTCCAGAGTGATCCCGCGCATGCGCATCATCTTCCAACATGTCGTAGGCACGCTGTTCTTGCAGAACGGAGAAGACAATAGCTACGACCCAGAAGACTTTATGCAGGAGCTGGACGTGGGGAGCTCGACGCCGCACTTTCGCATCTCAGTAGCGGACGATGACGGTGGCATCCCCGGCTCGCTCTTCGCTTGCGCTGTCTGGAACGTTTCTACTGCAGCTCAAGTGCGAAGATCAACATTGCAATTTAAAGTTACCAATCCAATGCTACATTTCGCTGTCCAGAGATTCATCGCCACGCACTTCGCCAAACATTCCGAGCTAGTGGAGGGTCGGAGGATCGTGGAATTCGACGCAGCTTCGTGGGGTTTTCAGTGAAAGCAACGTAAGATACGAGGGAGCTTACAGACGATCATTGTTAATTATTATGCAGGGCGCTGTCGTCGCTTGTGGCACTCCATTTCGGTGCAAAGTTGGCTGTTATGACAGGTGAGAGGGGAGTAATTACATTGTTTCTAAATTTATTTACATATTGGAGTGGTCTTTTATAGATTACCCGAACGACTTTTTGTTGAAAAACATTGAAACGAATATCAAGCGTAACGCACATTTATTGGGGACTGGGAGACGTGACGTACGGGGACATCTCTGGGGCAGTGACACAGCTGCGTTGCTGAAATGCCTTGATGCTCCGCCGTCTGACGTGTTGGACGAGCAAAAAGAGTATAAAACTCCAAACGACTCGACAAAAGCTCGATTTGAAGTGGCAGTTGTTGCAGAGTGTCTATGGCTGCATAACCTGGTAAGTTTCGATTACTGAGGTGAAATTTGAAGATGGTCTTATTTATTGTTGGCTTCCCAAGCATGAAGACTTGCTGAAATCAATCGACGCGTGTCTGTCACCTGGAGGAAAGGTGCGACATGTTCTTCTTCTATCTAAATCGCATTGTCTGTTAATGTTGTGATCGAAATTGCTGTGTCTTAACAGGTATTTGTAAGTTTTGCCCACCACGCCCCAGGCCACGAAGAGCACGATTTATCGTTCTTTATCAAGGCGAAAAAGCTATTCGGGTTCGACGCTGTCCATCTGGACACGCTAGCTTCCCCGCATATCTTCAATACCGACAGAATCGTCGACCAGTATTTGTACATGCTCACCAGGTCGAGAACGAGTGAAAAGCAACCTAAAGTATGGTGACGGCACCGCAAACGTGGATAAACTCACGATAATGCGTCTTGGCACCATTAGACCCTGACCAGTACAGTGGCATGGCGATTCCCACACAAAGATGCTGTTCGGCACACTATGACTTGGTACCGCCACACGATGCATGAAAAGCACCCGTTTCGTGCATGAACGTGGCCCCCGCGCGCGTGGAAGGAGCTGAGTGCGCGCAGCAAAGGGCCTGGAGCGTGTGCTTCCACTTCGACTTGCGGCCAATCAGACCGAGCCCCCCCCCCATTTCGTGAAGCAGAGCAAGCGAGCGATGCCCCGGACGCTGCCGTGGAGAGAGGTGGGCACCGAGCTCAGTGCCGACGATGCGGAAGCCATGCTGAGCAGGATGAAGAGGCACAACACGGGGAAGAACAGCGCAATGCCGTGTACGGCTTGTGGCGCCGGCTCGCACCACAGCATGCGGTACAAGTTGCTAATGTGCGAGTCGGCGACCTGTAGCGGCGTCACCTGCTCGTGGCGGGGCAAGGTCCTCGTTTGTTCCGACAGTGGTGAGTTCTACATCTACGAGCTAGGTGATCACTTCACCGCCTCCTCCTCTCCCAAGCGTGCTAGGCTGTCTGGAAGGCAGAAAGAGTTCTGCCGTGAGCTCGCCAATTAAAAAAATATTATTAAAATTTAAGGAACCTGTAATAGCATAAATTATTGAAGAACCAAATAATATAAAACCTGAAGCAATTGATCCTAAAATAAAATATTTTAATCCAGCCTCAATAGATAATATTGATTTTTTTTGTGTAGATGTTAAAATATAAAAACTTAAACTTTGTAATTCTATTGCTAAATACAAAGTAATTAAATGATTTGTCGATACTAATAACATTAAACCTAATAATGATATTAACATTAATATATTAATTTCATATGCATTTATTTTTTGTTGTATTAAATATTTTTGTTGTATTAAAAAACAAACAATTGTTGATAAAATTAAAATTACTTTAATAAATTGTGTAAAATTATTAATAATTAATACACCATTTAATATATTATTTGAAATATTTGTTATATTTAATGTTAATATTAAAAGAATTAATAATAAATATATTATTATAGTAGTAATATTTTTTATAATCCTACGCAACCGCCTACGCAGCCACCTACTGAGGCTCCTACGCAGCCCCCTACTCAGCCCCCTACTGAGGCCCCTACGCAGCCCCCTACCGAGGCACCTACGCAGCCCCCTACCGAGGCACCTACGCAGCCCCCTACCGAGGCACCTACGCAGCCTCCTACCGAGAAACCTACGCAGCCCCCTACCGTGGCGCCTACGCAGGCTCCGACCGAAGCTCCGACGCCGACACCAACGGAGACACCAGTTCCTACCACGGCCGCCCCAAAGCCCACGACGGCGACACGTAGCAAGCAATCCGCGTCTTCGAACTCCACTTCCGATGATGACGAGCAGGAGGCTGCTACTGTGACGCCTTCGA